ACTCCAGACTGGGCACAGTCACTAGTCCCTATTCTTTTTTCTTTTTAAAGATTTTGTTTATTTATTTGCCAGAGAGAGAGAGAGAGAGAGCACAGGCAGGCAGAGTGGCAGCGGAGGCAGAGGGAGAAGCAGGCTCCCCGCCGAGCAAGGAGCCCGATGTGGGACTCGATCCCAGGACGCTGGGATCATGACCTGAGCCGAAGGCAGCTGCTTCACCAATTGAGCCACCCAGGCGTCCCACTAGTCCCTATTCTTGATTATCACCTCCAACAATAGTAAATGGATGGACAAAAAGTCTCTTTTCCTTCTGCTATGGTGAGGAAGGGGAGGGACAGGAATGGCAGAAAGGGATGCCTTTTGGATCCCCTCAGTGGTCCTAACAACAACACTATTACTTCCAGGTGTTAATTTTGCCCAGAATGAGATGACCTCATGCTGGGATTTAAATAATAATGACATGAGAGTGGAACTGAGCAATTCTTAGTGACTGAATTATTTGTGAGGAGCAGATTTTACTTGTGCCATAAAACAAATAAAATGGAATGCTATCTACCATCTTCACAATGATACAAACAAGGTCTTGGGAGTACCTGACTGTCTTTGGTCAGAGTGGTTGCTCGGCCCTGATGTTGTCCGAGTATGAGGTTACTTGGAAGGCTTGAAGCACAGGGCAAATTGGAATTTTTTTTCTTTAGTTTAGACTCCAAGCTCTCACACAGACTGGACTCCATCTTCCCAGTGTCCTGAAGAAACTTGATCCTACCCAGAGAGCGCAGCTGATGCCAACAGACAAAGCACCAAGGTCAGGGAGACAGCTGGGCAGCAGATAGTCTTTCCAAGAGATAACAGGAAATGACTAAGAGCCAATAAAACAGCTCACCCGAGGAGAAACATGAGACTGAGGCCAGATCCCACAGTTTATGCTGATTAAAGAGTATGAGACCTCAATCCTTCTCAGTAAATCTTTATTTCATACACAGGAAGATCTGAATTGTAGGAACAGCTCCTGATTAGATATTAAAAGTGGTTATCCCTAATTAGTGAAATCAAGGAAAAATTATATATTCTTTACCCTTGGCTCTAAATTGGCTCTAGATCTTGTCTGTATGAAACGGGGAGGGTGAGAGGAAGGCAGAGAGGGAGGGATGTGGCAATCCTACTTCTGCCACAGGGGATCTTTCTAACTCTCAAAGAATGTGTGGTTCTCTAAAGGCAACCTGCAGAGTTTGGAAATGAAAGAAAGAAAGGGTTTTTGGTGGGGGGGGGTGGAGATAGGCAAGGGCAGGGCAAATTCCTTTCTGTCTTGTAGGTGTCCACCTACCTTTGCTTGCCAAAAGCAGGAGTAGTGGGCTGCCTGTCCTCCTCCCCCCTCCCCTCCCCTCCCTCTTTCCCTGACAGTGGAGGACCAGACCACCTAGGTCATGGTGAAGCCTTTGGAGGTTTACCAGATGCAGGAGACCTACAATCCTGAGGACTGCATTTTACCTCCTGTGTTACCTGTGGAGTACCATGTGTCTTTGGAGCCCTGGAACATGCTGGCTTCAGGAAAACAAATTATACTTATTGTCTGAGAGGAGTAGGAAGTGAACTTTACCAAATCCTCTCCTTTTGGGATCATGCGGCACATACACAATGCTACATAACCAGCTGTTTCAAGTTAATAACTCAATGTAAGCAGCACCAGTATGACAGCAGACATTAGTCAGTATTGTTTTTGATGAGTAGCCACATTCCACTTTCAAATGTGCCTCAGTTTAGTTATATAGCAAATCCATGACCATTCTTTTATAAATTAAGCTTCTTTGGAAAACCCATGTATCTAAATCTTTATTCACATCCAAGACAGTTTCCTTAACATAACGTTTTATTATTTTTAAAAGATTTTTTTCATTTATTTGAAAGAGAGACAGAGTGAAAAAGATAGATCATGAGCAGGGCGGAGGGGTAGAGAGAGAGAAACAGACTCCCCACTGAGCCAGGAGCCCGATGTGGGACTTGATCCCAGGACCCTAGGATCATGACCTGAGTGGAAGACAGATGCGTAACCAACTGAACCACCCAGATGCCCTAACATAAAGTTTTAGGAGTAGAAGTGCTGGGTTACAGGATATGTACAGGTTTTAAAGCTCATATATTCGAATTTAGCAATACTTTTCTTTACATTTTCTGGATTCTTCTTATGCTTAAAATGGCTTTGCACACTTTCAGAGCCTAAAAGCTTTCACACATCTCTGGGGGAGCCTAAGCTTCTCTTGAGGGCCCTGGGACAGCTGCACCGAGGAGAAAATTTGGAGGGCCAATTGGCAGGTGAAATGCAGGACTGGGAACAGTCCTAGACACACTGACATATTTGGGGGGTGGAGAAGGGAAGGACAAGTATTCCAGGATTCGGAAACAATGCCCTGTTCCAGGCAGGGCAGAGTCTGCTTGGTTGGGGAAGGCTGGATCCACAGCCTATGTGACACACACATCACTGCCCATACCCACAGGTGTTATTACACATACCTCCAAAGCTTGGGACTGGCTGGTGAAGCTGACTCCGCAGAGGTTGTGTTTAGGTGGCAACGGAAGATAGATGCCATTTTTCTTTCCCTTTCTAATTCTCCCATAGGCTCTCTGCTGTCTCTCTGCAAGTGTAAAATCAAATAGGGTGAATGCATGAGTGTGATGGGGAGCCAGCAAGACTCAAATAGATCGGGGCAGAGAGATCTGTAGTCTCTGAGAAGGAAGTTCCTCCAGGTCATCATCTTTCTCCTCAAAGGTCCTCTGGTTGCCATGGCCCATGTTGTGGCGGGGCCAGGACAAGGGAGGACGGTGGGCTGCAAAGGGGTCAGATGAAGTTGGCGGGAGTCTTGAGGGATGTTATTTGAGGTGTCTGGGTGCCAGAGGTATCACATACTGCCAACAAAGGGCAGATGCAGGAATCCTTGGTGGGTTCCCAGAAGGGATGAGGAAAGCCCCGCCCGCGCAGCACATGCGGGATGCAGTACGCATGCCCAGTGCCCAACACTTTCCCATCAACCACTGGTGTGAGGGCGTGTGCAAAACGGTCCCTGTGAAGTTCCGTGCAGGTCGCATCGTACCATCTGATTTCTTTCTCACTGTCTAAGACTCAATAGGTAGGTCTCCAGATCAGTCTGTGTAGAAGTTTAAATACAACTGTGAGGAGGGAGCCAGTGGGTTTTGGGTGGGTCAGGACCATGTAGTTCTGGTCTCTGAGGCGGAAAGCCTTGGAGGTCTTTTTTCTTCTCATAGGCGTTGCAGCCACCATGGCTTTTGTCACGGTGGAGAACAAGTGGAGGGGAGGGGGCCATATGAAGATGGGGCGGAGTTTGGGGCATCATTTGATATATCTGGGTCTTGGAGGCACCAGGAGCTGAAAGAGGGCAGATTTGGGAATTTTCGGTGCAGCCCTGGGTGGGGGGGCGGGGAAAGCCTTACCGCGTGGCATGTGCTGTAGCAGTGCGCATGCCCAGTGCTGCAGGCCTTCCCATCAGCCACTGGTGTGGGATGTGTGCAAAAAGCCCCGTGTGCAGAGCTGCGCCAGTCGCGTCTTTCTGCCTGGATTCTTTCTCCCGGAGACTCGATCATTTTCCCAGGAGCGTAAGTGTGAGTGAGTGAGGAAAGAACCAGGGGCTTCAGGCAGGTCGGGGTGGTATAGTTTCTTGTCTCAGAGGAGGAGGTTCCCGAGGTAATCGCGTTTCTCTTCATGGGTCTTGCAGTTGCCATGGGTTTTGTCTTTGTTGGGGGGTTCTGAGGCAGGGGAGGATGGTGGGTAGGTGAGGAAGGGGGCATCAGATAAAGATGGGGCAAATCTTGGTGATGTTATTTGAGGTATCTGGGTCTTGGCAGCACCGGGAACTGCCAATAGAGAGCAGATTCGGGAGTTTTTGGTGAGGCCTCCGTGAGGGGGGGCAGGGGAGCCCTTCCCCTCGGGCACTTGCAGTGCACATGCGCAGTGCCTAGCTGTGGTGAGGCCCTGGGTGGGGGGCAGGGAAAGCCTTACCGCGTGGCATGTGCTATAGCAGTGCGCATGCCCAGTGCTACAGGCCTTCCCATCAGCCACTCGTGTGGGACGTGTGCAAAAAGCTTTTTGTGCAGAGCTGTGCCGGTCGCGTCTTTCTGTCTGGGTTCTTTGTCCCGGAAACTCAATCATTCTCCCAGGAGTGTAAGTGTGAGTGAGTTGTGGTGGTTGATGTGGGGGCGTGTGCAAGGCCTTCTGGGTGCTCAGCCTAGCAGTTTGTCTTAACTTGTGGATTTTTTCTCACTGAGACTCAATCAGTAGGTCCGCAGATTAGTCCAACCAGGAGTTCAAGTTTGAGTATGAGGAGGGTGCTGCCTTTCGGTGGGTAGGGGCAGTGTGGTTCCTGGTCTCCGGGGAGCAAGTTCTTTGAGGTTGTTATCCCCCTCACAGGTATGGCCACCATGACCCCTGTGGTGGTGGGGCTGGGAAAGGGGAGATGATGGGCTGTGGAGGGGAGGGTGCCAGATGAAGATGGGGAATCTAAGGGGTGCTATTGGAGGCATCTGAGTTCTGGAGGCACCTGAAACTGCTGACAGAGCACAGAATTGGGAACGGTAGTGGAGAGGTGGACAGGGCTATATATTACAAAATCTCTCATAGCGGGGAGTCCAGTTGTGAAACTAAATCTTTTTGGGAAAGTCGTATGTCTTTTTTCAGGTACTTGAAGGCCCCTTGTCTGCCAAATTCCTGTGAAACAGAGGTTTTGTAGACAGCCTAATTTGATGCGATTGGAAAATAAGCAGTGGTTATAAATTCAAGATTAATAAAAATTATTAAATTTTTTAAAAGAGTAATAAAAGATTTTTATAAGATGAGTAAATTATTAAATTAATTAAAATTAATAAAAACTGATTTTTTTTTTGTTTTGGAAATCCCTACAAATGTAAAGAATTTATAACCAGCAGTTGGCTGTGAAGATAGTCCAGTATAATTATTGTTTTATTACAATCTTCAGTTAATGATTTTCTACTTGCAGTGAGAAATATGAGTGCTCGAGTAAGATCAAAATCTAGAGGAAAGGGAGATGGAAAAAAATCTAAGCTGGATGAACCTGGAGTTGTGAGTGCTTTAACATCTTCCTTCCATTGCCAGAAATAATTTTTTTATGAAAAGCCATTGAAAAAGTTGTTGAACCAATATAGATCTGTTGTTTAAAGGACTTCCTTGTTGAAAATGGGTGAAAAATTAATCCCATGAGAGAGACTGAGCAAAAAGACTTATTTTCTGTTGTTGCACGGACATGTAAATTGGGCTGGAAATTATCTCTATGGCTTTCTTATTGTACTTTTTAATAAACAAATACCACATCTCAGAAAAGATTAGAAAGGTTTCCTGAAATATTGGTCCTTATAATTCCTTTCTCAGAATATTTTCTATATAGAAAGAATAATTTTACTGAATACTTACAGAGAAGAGCATAAGAAAGATTCAGATTTATAATTATTTCCATGTAGTATGTATATTTGTGTCTTCTATCATGATAGTATTAATATTAATACTCTTTATTTGCACCTACCCTCTCCCAAGGCTAAGCAACCAGGTAAAAAAATACCTCAAAAAAAGGAACCACCTACTGAGGATCCAGATGTTGAGCCTGGACAAGAGAGAGAAGAAGGAGCATGTGGGGTTCAAGGTGACGAGGGGATGGAGAAACATGTTGTATTTCATCTATTAGGCTCTAATAGTAATAGAAATAGATAAAGGGTTCCCTGAAAATTGGCTGGAAACCTGTTTGGTAAGGGAAAGTTATAGTTGCAGCCCCTCTCTGATAAGTTTTCCTTCTTTGAGCACTTTACCATCCCATATTTTAAATTATTTGGCATGCTTGGGGAATAGAATTCTTGCCAAGGCTCTAAATTAACAAACCAAGGGAAACGATATTAAATTTAGATAGAATTTATACTATATCACTAGTTAAATTTGGCCTTTTTTGAATGCTGTTTTCTGGGCTTAAGTCATTGCATCAAACATTTAAGCAAACCTAGATATATTTTGATTAGCTCTTAGACTGTAATTTTTGAAATCATAGAGAAACAAAAATGTGAAATCCTTTCCTAGTTGCTGTTGAAGTCTTCAATATTTTTGTTTTCCTGAACCATAATCTAGTTGTCACATATATTTTTTTAAGATTGATTTACTTTAGAGAGGGGGGGGGTGCGTGTGTGAGTGGGAAGAGGGGCAGAAGGGGGAAAGAGAGAATCTCAAGCTGACTCCCTGCTGAGTGCAGAGCATGATGTGGGGCTTGATCCCACAGTCCTGAGATCATGACCCAAGCTGAAACCAGGAGTTGGACGCTCAATTGATTGAGCCACCCAGGTGCCCCTAGTTGTCACATAGTCTTTTTCTTTTTAACTTTTTACTTTAAAAATATTTAAAACTTACAGAAAAGTTGTAAGAAAGTACAGTGTATTCTTATATCTTCTATGTCAATTCACTAATTGCTAACCTGTGCCACATATTACCTTTACATTCGATAATAATACACATTATTATTGCTAAACCATCTGAGAGTAAATTTCAAATATAAGCCATCTGAGCATAAGTTTCGAATATAACCTTTTATTCTCAAGGTAACTCAGTATCTGTTTCCTAAAAAAGGGGGATATTCTTTTACATAACCCCAGTACAATGATCAAATTTAGGAACTTTAACATTAAGAAACCTTATCTAATATGTAGTCTTTTACCCTAGTAATAACCCAGTTTCGTCAGTTGGCTTAATAATATCTTTTATACCATTATTTTTTCCTGATCCAGCATCCAACCCAAAACCACCCATTGTATTTAGTTGTCATCTCTCTTTTTCTTAGAAGTGTACTTCAGTCTTTCTTTGTCTTTCATGACTGACATTTTTTGGAGTCAAAAATGATTGTTTTATAAAACGTTCTTCAGCTTGGGTTTGTCTAATCTTACTATTGGTAATGACTTTTTCAGTCATTTTTGGGGGCCTTCTTGGTGTCAGGTAATGTACTAGATGCTGAAGATAAAAATATAAACGAGAGAATGATTTCTGTCTTGAGCTCACCATCTTGCCAGAAATTCATGTAAACAAATGGCTGATCTAGTAAGTATAATAATAGAAGTGTATATAGGTTACAAAGGTGACAACTAAGTTGTCTTAAAACAGTTTTAGAAAAGGAAACACTTCATAGAGGAGATAACGTATGAAAAAGACAACTCCACTTTCTAGCAGAAAACTTTTTAATGCTCAATGTATTTTTATACATCACATTTTTTGCAGTACTAACCTACAGAGCTGTATTTAGTAAGATTAATTTATGGTTTACTGCTTACATTAATAATTCTGTTTATTTATGTAAGAACCTGAACTGGAAGCTGAAAGCCAGGAAAAGGAAAAGGGTCTGGAAAAGACTGGAGGTGAGCGTGGAGATGGCCCTGATGTGAAAGGGAAGACTACACCTGATCTGGCATTTGCTAAAGTTCAAGAAGCAGGTAAGTTATCCATTAAGAATGCAAGTCACGGGGTTGGTTTTTCCTGCAATATTATCATACCTTTGTAATAAATCACAAATATAAAGATTATTTGAAAGGTAGTTCAGACATCAAATGTTTGATTCAAAGGTGGTGTCAGAGCAAAAAAAATATATCAAAGCCATGTTGTTGAATTATAAAATATGGAAGTATTACTTTGGAATAGAAGTTCTTTGAAACCCAATGCAAGTTGTCAAATACTTTTAATTTTTTAATTTTTATTGTTTGTCAAATACTTTTTATTTTTTGTTTTTATTTTTTTTTAAAGATTTTATTTATTTATTTGACAGAGAGAAAGAGAGATCATAAGTAGGCAGAGAGGCAGGGGGAAGCAGGCTCCCCACTGAGCAGAGAGCCTGATGTGGGGCTTGATCCCAGGACCCTGAGATCATGACCCGAGCCGAAGGCAGTGGCTTAACCCACCGAGCCACCCAGGTGCCCCTGTCAAATACTTTTTAAAGTATATAAATTATTTAACGTAGTCAAGTACCAATTGGATATCTAAACAACACAGTAGTATTGATTTTCTTTTTATTTGCCTAAGCTATTTCTCAAAAATAACTATTTTTATATCTTTTAGACACCAAAAAATAATATGGATCTCTTTGTTTTGGCTTTTATAGGTTAGTTTGTTGATTTTTTTTAAACTGCGAGCTCTACCAATGAGAAATGGTAATATTTTCCTTCACATTTTAATGTCCTCTATGATGGTAGTGTTGTATAATTAGTGTGATCTGTAATTTTTTTTTTTTTTGGTGACCGTGTAATTATCATCATCTAAACCAGGCCACTCTTGAGAGTTAAAGGGAGTACTGTTGACTGCTTACACCAGGACAATGGATGCAAATGAACAAGATGGCCACCATACTATAAATAGACCATATAAAGATTGAGCTTAGATCAACGAAATAATTCTGTGCAAAAGAGACAAACCAAATGGAATAATGTCCTTTGTCCTCTGTAGTTAAAACAATTCCAAGTATGACATTATTATTTTAGCTGAAATGGATGATTAGGAGATTACTTCAAGTGAGTGAATTTGAATGACACTGGATTTACTTGTTTTGTTTTGCTCTTGGAGTTTCTACTTGGTTGATTTTCTTTTAACTGAAATCACTGGCATATTTTGCTCGCTACTTAAAATTATCTTTAAATAAGCTCTTGGAATTTAATCTGTTCTGGGTTTGAGAAATCTTTTCTTCATACCACCAAAAGGAGTGATGCATTTAAAAAGTTAGTGCTTATATGCTGAAAATGTACATTTGCATAGAAGTCTATCCCCTGGTTAGGGTTCTGGTTTTAGTTTCATCTTATAAAACCAAAGCTGTAGTGTCCTCCGTGTACTTTTATTATTGTCTAAGTTCTGCTAAGTGATGTACCCAACTGTTACGTTTATGTTTTAGGTGATGGACAGTCATAAGTTAAAAAGAAGAGAAGCTGAAGCCACACATACAGTTTGTTATATTGATAATTTGGCTTAAATTCTCTCAATAAAGATTTAAAGTTTGCTCTGAAGTTGTCATGCATATCTTCTGTTAAATCTGTTCCTGATATTATTATAAATGGTATCTTTAAAAAACTCTCTGTGTTCTGTTTACAGCTGCTCTAATGAAGGCTATTTATTTTTGTGTAATGATTTTGTCTGGCAACTTGGCTAAGTTTATTCTAATAGTGTCTCTTTGTCCTTTTGGATTTTCTACATACACAATCATACCATATGCAGATAATAACAGTATTCTTTCCTCCTTCTGAATCTTTCTACCTTGTAGTTCTTGTCCTTTACAACACTGGTCACATCCTTTTGAGTACAATGTTAGATAAAAGCGATGATAGTAGACATCCTTGTATATTCCTGATTTCTCTTTCAACATTTTCACTATGATGTATACTATAGATTTTTAAAAATTAGATATCTTTTATTAGATTAAGGAAGTTCCTTTTTTTAATTTTATTTTTTATAAACATATAATATATTTTTATCCCCGGGGGTACAGGTCTGTGAATCGCCAGGTTTATACACTTCACAGCACTCACCATAGCACATACCCTCCCCAATGTCCATAACCCCACGCCCCCATCCCCCTCCCCCCATCAACCCTCAGTTTGTTTTGTGAGATTAAGAGTCACTTATGGTTTGTCTCCCTCCCAATACCATGTTGTTTCATTTACTCTTCTCCTACCCCCTTAACCCCCCATGTTGCATCTCCTCTCCCTCATATCAGGGAGATCATATGATAGTTGTCGTTCTCTGATTGATTTATTTCGCTAAGCATGATACCCTCTAGTTCCATCCACGTCGTCGCAAATGGCAAGATTTCATTTCTTTTGATGGCTGCATAGAATTCCATTGTGTATATACCACATCTTCTTTATCCATTCGTCTATTGATGGACATCTAGGTTCTTTCCATAGTTTGGCTATTGTAGACATTGCTGCTATAAACATTCGGGTGCACGTGCCCCTTCGGATCACTACGTTTGTATCTTTAGGGTAAATACCCAGTAGTGCAATTGCTGGGTCATAGGGTAGTTCTATTTTCAACATTTTGAGGAACCTCCATGCTGTTTTCCAGAGTGGTTGCACCAGCTTGCATTCTCACCAACAGTGTAGGAGGGTTCCCCTTTCTCCGCAAGGGAAGTTCCTTTTTATTCCTAGTTTGCTAAGGGAATTTACCATGAATATTTGTTGAATGTTATCATATACTTATTCCACATGGATTGAGGTGATCTTAAGAGGTTTTTTCATTAATCTGTTAATGTGGATTCCTAGATAAACCCAATTTAAGTCATGATATAGTGTCCTCTCTATGTATTGTCGGATTCCCCTCTCTAATGTTTTGTTCAGGATATTTACATCTTTGTTCATGAGTGAGATTGGCCCATACTTTATGTACTCCATCTTGGGCTTTGATATCAAGGTTATTCTGGCTTCAGAAATACAGGGACGTATGTATCTTCTTTTTCTGTTTTCTGGTAGAGTTCATCTAACTTTGGGATGATTTCTTAAGTGTTTGATAGAATTTATTGGTGAAGCTATCTGGACCTGGTTTTTAGGAAAGTTTGAAATTAATGATTTAATATTTTATATTCTTTTGTTAGTTTGGCTTTTATCTTTATAGGGCTTTGTCCATGTTGTCCAAATTTTCATTACAGAGCTGTCCATAATATCCTCTCATTATTTTCTTAATGTCTGCAGGATCTGTAGTGATACTACCATTTTAATTCTTAGCATTGATAATTTGTGCCTTCTCGCTTGTATTCTTAACCAGTCTCACCAGAGGTTTACCAGCATTACTAGGTTTTTCAAAATAAGCCATCCTTTGGCTGTGCTGGTCCTATTCTATTTTTGTTCTTTATTTTATTAACTTTGTCTCTCACACTTACTATTTTTGTTCTTTCTCTGTTTAATTTGCTGTTCTTTTCTTCTTATTCCTTGAAAAAATGTTCAGCTTACAGATTTTCAGCCTTTATAATGTACATTTTTAAATTATAACATTCTTGGGGCATCTGGGTGGCTCAGTTGTTAAGTGTCTGCCTTTGGCTCAGGTCATGATCCTAGGGTTCTGGAATCGAGCCCCGCATCAGGCTCCCTGCTCTGCTCTGCTTCTCCCTCTCCCAGTCCCTCTGCTGTGTTCCCTCTCTCGCTGTGTCTCTCTCTTACAAATAAATAAAATCTTTGAAAAATATTAAATTATAACATTCTTCCTAAATAGAGCTTTAGCTTCATCTTACGAGTTTTGGTATATAGTATACTTGTTATTTAACTCAGAATATTTTCTAATTCTCATTCTGATTTCTTTGAACTATGGACTACTTCTCATTGTATTCCTTAACTTTTAAACATTTGAGGAGCGCCTGGGTGGCTCAGTGGGTTAAACCTCTGCCTTTGGCTCAGGTCATGATTTCAGGGTCCTGGGATCCAGCCCCGCATCAGGCTCTTTGCTCAGCAGGGAGCCTGCTTCCCCCTCTCTCTCTGCCTGCCTCTCTGGCTATTTGTGATCTCTCTCTCTGTCAAATAAATAAATAAAATCTTAAAAAAACCAAACATTTGAACATTTTCTGTCTTTTTGTTGTGCAGCACAGATAGCTGATGTAGCTGTTCATAAGAGACACAGCTAAGGGACGCCTGGGTGGCTCAGTGGTTTAAGTCTCTGCCATCGGCTCAGGTCATGATCTAAGGGTCCTGGGATGGAGCCCTGCATCGGGCTCTCTGCTCAGCAGGGCGCCTGCTTCCCCCTCTCTCTCTGCCTGCCTTTGCCCAACTTGTGAGCTCTCTGTCAAATAAATAAATAAAATCTTAAAAAAAAAAGACACGGCTAAAACATAAAAATTCAGAAAATTTGAAAGTAAAAGGATGGGCAGAAGATAATCTGCACAAAATAGCTAAAATAAGCTTTCAGATAAATAAGCATTACTAGAGAATACAGGATATTTCATGTAGAAAAATTCCATTTGTCAGGAATACTTAACAATTTTGAATATGAACCTAATGTGCTTCAAAACATAATGGAAAAAATGGCAGAACACAAGGAGAAAACAGCAGAGTAAGCAGACAAAAATCAGTGAGGAAGGATGTGTAAGATTTGCACATTGATTAATAAATGGGATAAATAAATAATAAATAATGGAAGTAGAACTGTGTATTCACCAACTAAATACATAATCTTTTCAGTGTAATAATTCTGTCAGAGTATCTATGCTGTATATTTCAGTTGTCTGAAATTTGTATTTTTATGGCCCAGCATATGGTCAATTTTTATAAAAATTCCATACGTGTTTGAAAAGAATGTGTATTCCCTTGTTGAATGTAGGTTACCTACGCTGCCTAACTTAGTGTTTCTACCCTGTACTTAATTTTAATGCTGTGGTCCCTTTGCCCTGACAGGGCAAGGACCCTTGGACAGTGGCTCAATTCCTGTGATGTTTCTCAGCATCCACTTGACCTTTAGGAAACGAGTTCATTCTTGCCATGTCAGAAAGCGATAATAGAGCAGGTTCCTATGTTGCGGTTACTTTTCTCCCAGCTGTCCTAGGCTGCTGCTCTACAAGCCTTTCTCTTTGAAATTTCTCCAGGCAAAAACCAGACATCAGTCTCCAGGGGATACACTTTATGCTCTATAAAAACTTGGTCATCACACTCCATTCTCACTGCATCACTAGAATGGGTTTCTGATTTTCTATAGCTCAGAGCACATGGCCGGTGAAATGCCAGTCTTCCTTTCTTAACATGTTTTAGGTGTCTTTTAGTGGCTCTCTCAGATCTCCATTCAATTGATTTTAATTGAGGTGGGTAACATAACCTCCTGTTCAACTCAGGGTAGGGACGATTTCTTTCACACCAGCCTCCACTAAGTTGATAATCCACAACTTAGGTATTCTATTTTCCATAGACTCTTCTTTAAGGGGTTTTCCAACTTCTAACCGTCTTTATGTAGACTGCTTAGGCTAGCAGAATCAAGAAATGTGTTTTCCTATCTCTGTCAAATGTGAGGTTACTTACTGCCTATTGTTCTGTTGTCAGAAGGCATTTGGATATAATGAATTTAGGAGAGAGGTATAAATTTGAAATTCATTAGAAATGTAGAAAGCATTAGAAGTCATAGTGGATCGACAGGAACTCACCTAGGGAGAGATCATATATGGAGAAGAGAGCCACAGGCAGTCCTGGAGCCCTCTACATAAGGAAGAACTTAGGATTGAGAAAAAGGACTACCAAAATGTAGGAAAAAACTAGGTGAATGTGTTATCAGGAAAATCTAAAGGAAATAAATTGTTGAAAGAAATAATAAGCAGTCAACAATTTAAAATGGTGAGAGGTCATGCAAAAAGGGTATAGGAAACTGTTAATCTGGTAAGATGGATGTCAGCAGAGACCTTCATAAGAGCTACTTTCGGAGGAGGAGGAAAACCTGACTAAAGAGGATTAAGTTGAAATGGGAGATGAGTAAATCGATATAGTGATTATAGAAAATGTATTTTGATGGGGCTCCTGGGTGCCTCAGTGGGTTAAAGCCTCTGCCTTCAGCTCAGATCATGATCTCAGGGTCCTGGGATCGAGCCCCGCATCGGGCTCTCTGCTCAGCGGGAAGCCTGCTTCCTCCTCTCTCTCTCTGCCTGCCTCTCTGCCTGTTTGTGATCTCTGTCTGCCAAATAAATAAATAAAAATCTTAAAATGTATTTTGAGTTTTGATGCGAGGAAGAAGGAAATGGAAATTGAGCTAGGAGGCTGACATGAGGCAAGGAGGGGGAATTATTTTTCGCCTGAGTGATAATTAAGGCATGTTTGTGTGCTGGTGAGAATGGTACAGGAGAGGATGGAAGACCTTGATAAGGCCATAGGGATGGGATCCAGGCACAAATGGAGGAGGTGGCCTTGGATAGGACTAGGGATACCTTTCCACAGTAATGTGGGAAGGCTAATATTGGAGGACTGAAGGAGGAATTTCTGTCTAAGTAGAAGAGGTAAGATTAGAAAGCAGACTGGGGACTTCTACTTTTCCTTTTATACTTTTCTAT